TCTATCTATCTATCTATCTATCTATCTATCTATCTCTATCTCGCTCCGATCGATTGCGCGCCCATTTCCCTTTCTTGATCATCTGAATCTTGGACCCGTCTTGCGCTACTTCTCGCGCCCTTTTTCCTTTTCTCCGTGAATCGGAAGCCCGGTCGATCCTTCGATTACTCTTGCCCACCAATCAGACGCGTGGTACGATAGGATCTGCCTATTGCGCGACGGATCTGATTGGCGAAGCTCAGAGTCCCACAGGATCAACATGGCTTCCGTAGCGCGCTCCTCGCCAAGTCTTCTCCTCCTGCTTCTTTTCTTACACTTCGACTTTCCCCCTGCCTTCTCTCTCCCTTGCCCCCCTTCTCGCCACTATAAATTCCGCAAACGCGCCCGCAAACCTCTCTTGCGTTCTCGACTCCCAAGCCAGCTTTCGGGAAGCAATGGCTCGGCAGAGTGTTTTGAGCGAGTCGGAAAGTCATGTCGGGCTGACGATAGGCTGGCCGGTTGCGCGCTTGATCGCCACGACGGACTGTGGGATCTGGGCGAACCGCGTCGAGTTCACGTCGGGCGGGTGACGATCGCAGTGGTGGGAGTTAGCACGCGACGGCCGGGATCGTCGGTGTGGGTATGAGGATCGATGATTGGAGTTGAGTGGGTGGTTGGTCCGGGGCCGTATTGGAATTCACGGCGAATGCGCCTTTGTTGTTGCGGATCTTTATCTCTGGCGTGAGTGTGCGACAGCAACGCCGAACTTCCTATTTTCGAATCTTATCATCTCCTATCTCGACATTCCTCCCTCGTCTCTCTCTCTCTCTCTCTCCTCTATCTTTGAATGACGGTGTGTCGTGATGCTTGTCCCTCTCATGAATGAGAATGAATTTGTGTGCTCCCCTGTGTGAAGGAACTTCTTCCGGAACTCTTCCATTAGTTTCCTGGGTAATCTCCAGATGTCGAGGAATTGATCCTCTTGTCTTGTGAACGGTGGATGTGTGTGTACACTTCCGTCGGTTGATTTCCGACCTGTGCATCCCGGTCATTTTCGCACCTTTCACAGTGAATGTATGTATGGAGATGCTTGCCTTTTTGTGTTGATTAGACGTCGCACTCGGCGGGATTTTGTTCGAGAATGCAAGAGTATTTAGATCTGTAATTCTGAATGCACTGCGCATGCCATCTGCCTTATGCTGCACGACATCTGCAACCGATCTACAGGGCAGCCTTGAGAAACAAGGCGCCCGAGATCAACGCCGCGGTGGCTTACTAAACCTGAGTCGCGGGTCGGTCCCTCACTTACATGCATGATCAAGCTGATGAGTGTTTTTTCTCTCTCTCTCTCTCTCTCTCTCTCTCTCTCTCTCTCTCTCTCTCTCTCTCTCTCTCTCTCTCTCTCTCTCTCTCTCTCTCTCCCTCGTTTCGAAAAGAATTGATTGGTTGTTGTGCGAGTATTTTTCCTTGGTGACGTCTCGGGATTTTTGCAATTGATTGACATGTGGACTGACAAACGCCCTTCGATCGGGCGTCAACCTCCCGTATCTCCCGTATCAACGCGACCTTTTCCTTACGACGAGGAAAGGACACGTGTATGCGAGTGGGACATACGAGAAGCTGTCGCACGGATTGGCGAACGATATTACTTCCCTCAGGAAAATCGTTGTTCACGGTTCGTAGAGGCTGGGTTTGTCATTATCGATACGCATTTTCCACCTTACTCGATATTGTTGCCATTTAACGAGTTGATTGTCATCCCGTGGACGGCAGTAGAACCCCACTGGCCTCGCACTCTATGCACGGAGTGTCAGCGCTTTGAGCGCTACGAATCCAAGGGTTTCGACTACCGCGTACGGAGTGAAGACGAACACTGAGAAAGAGCCACACGGCTGAGGCCCTCCACGTCGGACTGAGAACTGACTAGTGAACGACGTCGGGACTTTATATGAAGACGAGACACGCGAAGCATGCCGAGACCTTTTCGCTCTAAACGAAGGGCCGTAGCACGGTGGGAAGTCCGACAATACTTTCTGGATTGAATTTGTATTTCTATCTCCTTTCGCGCTGAACTCTCGCGCGCATTTTTGCGACGTGTGAAAAACGGTCGACTTACTTCATCGGACCAACACAGGGGATTTCAGTTTCGTCTGTGTCCCCACACTCAATTTCCAAAAATCCTTGGCACACCCCATCTTGCTGTTTTTCTGGGCCCCTTTTTCGCACCTCTAGCACTCCGAAAGAAAGACAACACAGGGCGTGGATTGAGAGGGGGCGGAATAGGTGGAAGATAGTCGGGGGTCTGGATATGGGATCCATCAAGATTGAGAGGGGGTGGAATAGGTGGAAGAAAAGCGGGCATTGTCGGGGGTCTGGATATGGGATCCAGAAATCTCATTCGGCTTCCTCCTCTGGCTGCTGCTGCTGATGATGGCCCGGCTCCATCAAGATTGAGATCGGGCACACGCGGAAAGGGCGGCGATGGCACGACTATCTCCTTAACGAGCGTCGCTGCACGCGCGGGCAGAATCACTTCCTCGCCCCCGCCGATCCTGCTGCCTTGCGCTCTTGGCGACGGGTGGCGTCTCTTCCTCTTCGGCGTCTCATGAGGGGCCTTTGGTGGCGCTGGTCGAGGATACGACGAGGGAGGCGGCAACGGCCTTTCCTCCGGGAAGTCCTCCGACCTCTCCCCCCGCTGCGCAATGAAATCCGGGATGACGACCGCGTTGTACGTCCTCTGCGGGGCCGTCGCCATCCGCAATCGTGGTTGGATCTCCTCCTCCTCGCTCGCGATCACTTGCGCAATGGAGAGGAGCTCAAGGTGTATGAGCTCCAACAATCCCGGATCGATCGTCTGGAGCTGGGCGAAGGGGTACAGCGCCACCGTCCCTTCCTTCTCCGCTGGCKTGGGCCGTGTGATGATGTAGTAGACGACGAAGTGCTCCCCGATGCAGTGGTCTTCGTGATCCACGAAGAACCGGAACATCCCCAGCGCCACCGACTTGTACAGCGCACAGTGCAACTCCCACGCGTCTTCGTCGGCGAAGGGCAGCGGCTCCACGTAAGTTAGCTCCACCAAATACTTCGAGAACTCGCGCATGGGATATGGGCTCTCCGTGAGCTGGTAGGGGAGAGTGGTGTAGGAGAAGAAGGGAAGCATTTAGTACGGGACAGGGGGAATAGCTTGGAAGTTGAGAGGAGCAGCGGGAGGGAGAAGCGTGGGGAGCTGCGGCACCAACGCAATCGGTCCATCCTCTGCCCTACGCAGCAGCACTTCGTGGGCTATGAATCGGTGTCCCCCCCGTCCTTGCAATCTGGCCACTGATCTGGCCGCTTCCACCGCGTATTCGCGCACAAAGCTGCGCACCGGCTCCCAATTCGGCTGCGGTAGGATCGTCAAGTCTCCGATGAAGGTGACGACGCTGTGCACGAAGTTGGGTGCCAGCTGGAGCGCGCGGAACTCACTGAATACTCGGGTCGTCTCCCGGCCAGGCAACTGCGTCATGTCCACGTACACCCCCGCATACGTCAGCCGATCGCAAAGCAACGGGTACGCTGCCAAATCAGCAACCCCGGGCGCTAGCACGTTCACCTGCTGGATGTCGTACCGCAACTGCCTTTCCTCATTGAACCGATGCCGCAACAAGCGATCTGCAAGCGCCGTCTGGAAGTGCTCGAGGGGCTCATGCTCCGGCTGGCGATGGTTCATCCTGCTCCCTGAAACTCTCAGCACCAATGGACGAGGCAGATCGGGAAGAGGAGGAGGATGAAGAAGGAGAGGGTGATCTCGCAGGAGCGGGGGTCCATAGGGGACCTAGCGATGGCTGGAAGGGCCGGAGCGCGGCAGCATGCCGTGTCAGCGGTCGGGCCTGGGAGTTGTGACGGGGAATCAGCTTCACGGAGTGCTGTCCCTGTGCGCAAACTTCCGTGACCTCGTAAATGCCTGTGTAGCGTGGGTGGATCTTGGAGGAGCGCACAGATTTTCGTACCTGCACCAAGTCCCCAACTTTATAGCGGGGCAGTGGTCCCGCCGACGTGTGTCGATTCTCGTAGTCACGGATCTGCCGTTGATGTGTCTGATCTACGGCCTGCTGTCGACGGCGAGCTAACGGGGGATAGGCCCTACCCATTAAGTCCATGTAGTGGCGGGCCTTATCTCGGTTCTGGGCCCGTGTTGCTCTAACTTCCGTACCTACTGAGGGGGACAATTGCACCCGAGGGACACTATTGGTTCTAAGTTGAAAGGGGGACACCCCAGTACTACGGTGTGGGGTAGCCCGATAAACGGCCAAGATGTGGTCGACAATGACCGGCCAGGGCCGGGTGTCTCCCGCAGTGATATTCCGTCTAAGGGCGGTCTTAATCAGTCGGTTGGCATTCTCTACCAGGCCATTGGCTTGAGGCCAATGGCCCGGCGAGTAGATAATCTTAACGTCCGCCGTGACTAGGTGACGTTCTACTTCGCCTTGAAATTCAGACCCATTGTCCATGTGTACCTCTTCCACGTTTAAATGCATGCACAAAAATCGATTTACGTACCAGGCTACCTCCTGCGAATTCCGGCTGGTCATAGGGTACGCCTTGATCCATTTTGAAAAATGATCGACGGCTACTAAAAGAACATTGAGTTCTCCCTGATCGACGGGACCTTTCGGAACGTTGATATCCGTCGTATCGATGCTAACCCTCTGAAAGGGGCGCTCTACACGAGTGGGCACCATCTGTACCGGCGCCTTGTCCACCGCTGTCGACGCGAATACCCTTACAAGGGTATCCGCCCTGGTTTTTGCAAGCGACGGAAAGTAGTCTGGTTTAAAGTTTAAGTATACCACGCTAGACGCGGTTGCGCCTGCGATTTACGTTGACTGGATGGCTGATTAGAACAGGGAGTGTGTGGGCGCGCGGATTTTTGAGGCGCGCGTGATCTTTTATCGTTGATGGTCGAAGGGTCGGCGTGATCGCCGGCCGGGAATTTTCTTCTGATTAAACAGGGATAAAAAGGATTATGGCTTGTTGATTGTTGCGCTTGCCGGTGACCTATGCGTACGGGCGGAGGACGGCATCGACAATATTGTGACTTTGAAGGCAGGTGAGCGCGACGCGCTGTGTCCGTTTATTTAGACGTCCGTCAGGGCTTAACCCAGACTTGGACCTAGTGCTATCGGTTATAGTATCGGATTTTCGTCAAGGAAATTCAGGGATCGAGGTCGAGCGGCGACGGCACAGGGGTGTTGGAATAGTGCGGAGGGCCCAACGGGGTTATCCCCCGTGGTTTTGCGGTCCGTGGGGGTGCGCGGTAGGGCGAGGGCGGCGTTTATATTTTTCCCCCTTGCCGGGCGGCCCAAGTTTGAACTTTCGTGGCCATTATTTTAATTTTGTTACTATTCGTCCTTATTTCAAGCGCGGCAGGGCCGCGCGGGGGTGTGTTGTATTCGCAGGATACCCCGTGGCGGTTGCGCTCATGCCCAAGCCTCGAAAAAGGGAACAAGTTGGAGCCGCGTTGACCAGCAGGTGTAATACCTGCTACGGCAGGTGGGCGGCACCGACCAGGGGTTAGCCGGTAGCATCAGGGTCGGGGTTCCCTGAGGGGCCGGCCACTGTGCCTCCTCCTCCGGTCTCCCCCTATGGGTACTAGTGGGTGACGGACGTGGCGTGGGTCCGGTCGGGCTGTATCGGGCCGCACCGGGCAGCCGCGCGGCAGAGTGGATAGAGTAGCGAACGGGCAGTAGCGTGGGGGAGTTGGGTTGGGCGCTGTGCAGTTGGCCGCCGTGGAAGAATAGCGCTGGTTGAGGAGGCAGCGGGGTGACGAGCGTCAGGCATAAGGCGGGGAGGCGGAGAGGCGGACGCAGCAAGGGTGGGAACGGAAGTGAACCCGGACGGGTACGTGCGCCGGTGTGTGCGTAGGAAGGGACTGAGCGCAGCACGGAGAAGCTTGAGTGTGTGGGCAGAGAGTTGTTTGAGCTGCCCAGTAGGCGCTCCTTAGGAGCTCTCTCTGATAACAGAATCTGTTGGGCAGCCTTGTGGTTCCGCAGTTCGGTAGAAGTGGGAGCTGCGCTATGGGCTAAAGAGACGAGGACGGCTAGTGAATAACCCAACAGGATTTCTGGGCTAGGCGCATTCGTAATAGAAGGAGATGGCGGAGCGCCGGGGAGTGCGTGGGAGAAGCGAGGTAGGAGCGCAAAAGGGTGAGAGTCAAGTGCCAGAGGGGGGGGTGAATCGGAACCGGGATCCCGCCCGGGTGCGGTCGGAGGTGAGGGTGAAGGAGTTGGGCTATGGCAGAAAGGGAGATGGGAGTGGAGAACACTGAATCTCGCTCGATCCTCGACGGATCCGAGCGAGGTAAGTTGCGATCCCGAGGTTTTTGACCCGGGCGAGTCACATGATGGGGTTAGTTTCGGTGTTAGGATACTAGGTTAGGGGGTTAGTGGGAGAGTTAGTGCGTGGAGCTATGGAGAAGAAGGAGTAGGAAGTCGAGAATACTAGTTGATCCTCGACATAATCAGTCGGGAAAAGGTAGTAAACCGGGGTTTATAGGTAGGGCGAAGTGAGTAGTGGAGTTAGATTTGGAAGAAAGTTAGTAGATTTGGAGTTAGAAAAGGCGATGAACCCGGACGGATTAACGCGCCGAGGGCATTCCAAGTTCGAAGAGCCAATGAAGGAGCTATGGCCGAATCAGGGGGACATAACTCGCCCGTTCTGTAACGGACTCGGGCGATGTAAAGACCGATTTCGGGATCTTAGGCCAAGGCTTATAGGATTATGAAATCAGTTCTAGCTGAAAGTTAGTAGAGTAGAAGGGAGGAAGAGAAAAGGCTGCGCCGAGTTATGGCGGAGGGGGGAAAGATAAAGAGTGAAGGTGTTATAGTGCGGCCATTTCTCGACCGTTTTCAGCAATCAAAGATGCGAGTTGGGGGTTTGAGGGCTGGGCGAGCGCAGTGGTAGAGTTTGATTTGGTTGAGGATTAGTAGGATAGAGGGTAGTAGAAAAATGAGTTGCGTGAAGGGGGCGGGAGAGAGAGATATGGCGGAGCAGACGACTCACAGATTGCCCGTTTCCTAGTCGAATCGGGCAAACAAAGAGTTGGTTGCGGGATTCTAGCCACGGGCGAACCATATGACGGAGTCGGATTCTGGAGTTAGGCTGTGGGAATGGCGGTGCAGAGGTCCTAAGCCACGGGTGGGAAAAGTAGGGGGAAATAAAGATAAAAAGAAATGAATCCGTCCATATTTCAGCGGAAGATTCATTCCGATTTTGCTCATCCTAACGAGTGGAAGTAACAAGAGGCCGGTCGTGCTGCGCACTGAGAGAAAAAAAGAGGAAGACAGGCGAAAGGTTGGGGAGGAGTGGGTACGTACCTGTGTGAACGCGACTACGGGCAAGGAGCCGGCGGTAGAGCTATGGTCGGCGGTTGAGCTATGGTCGCAACTTGTCTGGCGACTAGGCGATTGCTCCATGGTTAGAGTTAACGAAGAGGAGGTCGTGAAGGGGAGAAGGGGCAGATCGGTCTTGCCTGACCGTGCCGATACTTACTTGCAGGAAGGCGTACGGGCTAAGAGGGCCACTGCGAGTAAGCATGATTAGCGCCCGCCTCTCCATGCAGAGAAGGAAAACGAACCTGCCCACCATTACGGGCCAGGTACACTAGGAAAGGAGGCAAAGAAGGACTTTCATAAAAGGGGTGTGTGTGCCTGACGACTTTGTAGAGGGAGGATTCTTTTCCACCGTGTGAACTGGGTGAGTGACAGAGCATGGGAAGGTACAAACAAACACGACCGCACAGTGAAACAAGGGGGAGAGGATCGAGCAGGTCGGATCAGAGCCAAGTTTTGCTGCATAATGGTAAGACGTGGGGGATGGTTGTTCGTGAGGGAGCTCGTATCTAAGCACAATCATTCAGTCTACTCCACCGCATCTGATAACGAGCGTGCGAGGCATGCATCTGACCAGGTGCGAGGGAGAAGATGTTTATCTGGCCATATTGCGGCCCTTGTCGTGAGGGGGGGTGAAGTCCGCAGTGAGTTGCAGCGCACACGTAGGCTGTGTATGCCTAGGGAGTGACGACTACTGCAGGACTGACTTATCTGTGGACCAGTGAGACGCTCAGTCCACCGAACGAAGTAGAAGCCAGGCCAGCTGCGGGGCGCAGATTAGGCTGGTGACCGGCATGCTGTTAGGCCTATCGAGGCGGAGTTAGTCGGAGGTAAGCCGCGAGGTCGTGAGCTCACCCATAGCCAGTGTACTTGGAGTTACGGGCCTGAGAGGGAGGCAGAGTCCTTTGAAGGGGGGGTTATTGTTGCAACTCGGGGGATTGTCAGGGGTTTGACTTCGGTAGTTGA